AATTGGGCCTTTATGTAATAACAAAGTAGGAGTAAGCAATTTAGAAAGTTAGAATCTAAAACAGGATAGTATTAATGTGAAAAAAAATCTCTCATTTAAAAAATCTTCATTTAAAGTCAAATAGGATGGGGCTGGAGAGATGGCTCAGTAGTTAAGAGCACTTGTTACTCTTACAAAGTACCAGAGTTCAAATTCCAGAGCCCAATCTAACAGATTACAACCATCTGAAACTTCATTTCTAAGGTATCCAACGTGTTCTTCTGGCCTCTGTGGGCACCTGTACTCATGTGTATATACCCACACACTGACACCCACATATACACATAATCATAAAATAGTAAATTTCTTCAAATGGGAGTGGAAAGATTACCTCAGGCACCAAAACACTTTAACCTGTATCACCTTCTTTTAAAAAATTACAATCTTTCAATTTTTAACATGGCAGAAGAAAAGTAAATAAAGCTTTTAAACTTCATGGCTACCTAATGAGGATACGGTAGCTAAATCACTACAAAGTGAAATGAAGTTTCTATATTTGTTCTCCCATAGTACTTTGCCATATACTTTCATTTTGGCACCTAATTCAAGTATCACTGTTTCACAATCTCTACTGTTAGTTTTTCAAATAAAGAGCTTTAATTTCTTCATTCATTCAAATATTTCTGAGTCAATAGGAATATATTAGCTAGTTGGGACTCAAGTGGTAAACAAAAGAAATCATTATGGAACGAAATCTAAAGACAATAAATTACAACTGGAGTAACAAACAATATTACATAGTGTGAAAAAAAAGTACAACCAAAACATACCACAGGATATTCTAATTCTTATTAGAATGACAAATAAAAAGAAATATTGAAAATAAGAACAAGCTAACCTATTTGCTTCATTTTACCTTAGTATCTGTGTAAGCTGGGAAATTGTAGTCCAACCACCCTGGATTCGAGAACAATCTTGACTGAGGACCAATAGACAATACCGAATGAGGTCATAACAATATATATCTCGTTTGATTTTCTTCAACTCTGCGCTTCCCAAAGGAGTGCTATTTATTATTTCTAAAGCAAGAGAAAAGATATACTTACTTTTGCTCAACACATCTAAGAGATACTTATTTTTTAAATGTGATTAAAAATACGACAACAAGGAAAATGCTATTCCTCAGTGTTAAGATTTCTCTAAACAAATCAGAACACTAACACCATATCATAACAGAACCAGTATTTACTTAATGTCTTTCCTAACTATATAAATATTTTCTTACCTTTTAATTTCAACAATATAACAGGGACATTCTGTTCAGGACTTTTCGCTACTTCCGCAGCTAAAGACAAGATTCTTGGGTCTGTACTTGTTGGCTTCATTTTTTCTCCCTACTACCTGTATTTTAACAGAAAAAAAAGTAAAACAAACAAGACCCAAAGGACAAATGTACTAAGAATTAGAAATTATGCCAGCTTTACATTCACTATCTCTACACAATTCTAGGATAGAATTCATATAAGAGAAACAGATTGTAGGAAGAGTTAATATGTCAGGCTTCATACAGCTATTTTCTTCAAAGGTTAGTTTACAGGGCTGGTCCTTGGCTATTATCTAGAATGTAGATTTCGGAAGGCTTTTTATTTTTCTCTTATAAGCCTAGATCACTGTGCCTAAACTGTTATAAAAATAATGGTCTGTGGTAAACATCTACTTTTCTTTTAGAGCCCAAGAATTCTTATCTCTCTGATTTTCAATACTTAACAAAATACCTGAGATGAAGTATTTTATGAAGAAGTTTATTTAGGTCACAGTTCTGAAGTTCAAGGGCCTTGTGACAGCTCTGGTGAGAGCTGTCTTGGCTTTGCCATATGACAGATAGTATCATAGCATGAGTGGAAGGCATCATATAGCACAAGATACCCAAGAGAGACTGAGAAGGGGCTAGGCTTACTTTTTTATAAGTCTTCTCTTAAGAACTATAAAAACTCTTACAAATCTTTTGAGGTTGGTGATACCAATGATAGGATTATTTCCCACTAGGCCTCACCTCTTCAAGGTTCCACCACCTCTTATCATTGATATCAAGGACCAATCTTTCAACACACAAGCTAGCAAAAATCCTGGTCATAAGCTTCCATAGTAGAAAACACTTTATAGGTGTTGTCACAACAGTTTTGCTTGGGAAATTGTGTGTATCCTATGTAGTTCTACAGGGAATGGATCTTAGAAGACCAGGCCAGGTTTCTTCTGGATGTACCCTATATGGTCTTTAACTTTGGTAACTTTGCTTTGCATATCTTCACTACAAATTATAGCTAACAAGTAAGACAATATGAGTTGAGTCCTGTAAGCCCTTCTACCTAATCACTAAATCTGGAGATGGTTTGGAAAGTCCTAACATACTAGGGCTCAGAGATGTTATATGATTATAAGAAAATTAAAATCATTTATATTGAATCAACTCTAAAATGTAAAAAGAGTCCACATCTGAATTTTCTTACCAAAACTTCTCTGTATGTTCTAAAGTATTTGAAGTTTAATAGTATCATTCAATATAAAACATATTTTTAATTAATAAAGGATAACATAATATTGTGTGCTAGGACCTACCTGGGTTTTAAGGCATTATTTTATCCTCACAATGGGACTATAAAGTAGTGCCCATAATCATCTCCAATGTGCAGTTAAAAAAATAAATAGAACTTATCTGGGCATAGTGGTACATGCCTTTAATCCCAGTACTTGGTAGGCAGAGGTAAGTGGATCCCTGTAAGTTCAAGGCCAGCCTAGTCTGTGTAGTGAGTTCCAGAGCAACCACAGCTACATAGTGAGACCATCTTGAAAGAAAAACCATTAACAAGAAAAAGAAAATTTGAAACTTGTCACAGCTCCATCAATATGTGGTAGCATTAGTTAGATATCAGTCTAACTACAAACTTTGTGATTTTACACTTATTCTTACAAAAAAAAAACAGCTGAGAGGCTATAAGACCTGTGATTTTATTTATTTATTTAATTTATTTTTAATTTTTGAGACAGGGTTTCTCTATATAAGGCTGTCCTTAACCTTGCTTTGTACACCAGTCTGGCCCTGAACTCACTGAGATCCAACTGCTTCTGTCTCCTAAGCTTTGGGATTAAAGGCATGTGCCACTACCACCCAGCAAAATTTGTGATTTTAATTACAATGTTCAGTATTTTTTTTCTTCCAGGTAAAACTGTAAAAATAAAACATATTTTCAAATAATCTTCTAACTCATTTCTTGGCTATTATTCTGACTGACATTATGGTTCCATCTTTGTATTTGTAAGTTGGCTGCAATATAGTCATTCAAAAATCATCTTTCTTCTTGGGCAAAAATGTAAATCATTGATAGACAACTTCACTGAAGCCATTTTAAAGAAAGCCCAACAAAACACCTAGCATTGTAGAAGACACAAAACTTTCCTATAGAATGCATGTTAATTATCTTACTCTTTCCAGTGTCTGCATTATTTTATCTGTTCTTTGTGAGAGGACACTGAAATATATTTAAACATTCCCTTCACTGAATGTCATTTAGGTTGCAAATTATTATATATACAATTCTGCAATAGAAACCCATGCATTCATTGGCCAACAGAACAAATCCCCTTTGATATAAGACAGCCAAAAGTCAATGATCTGGACTTCTCAAAACAAATATTTTCATCTGTAAGCAAATCTGCCATTCCTAGGCCCTACAATTAAAAATTTAGAGTATAGCTGAATCCTAAATAAGCATTCAGAGAGCTATGTGTCCTATAAGTTGTACTTGCTTGCATGTATTAATTCATCTAACACCTCAATAATTCTAAAAGGATGGGCATTATTTTTTGCATAGCTATTATCATCAGTTCCCCAATTCTAATAAGCACATTTGTTTGAATTACTTGCACAAAGTCACAGTGTTACTATGAAGCTGGGGTACAAGCTCAGAGATCCTGGCTCCAAAACCTTCGTGTCTAATTATTACATAAAGAAGTCTTCATGCACCTTTAATGGGTAGAAGGCAAACATAATCACCTGTCTACATGGAAAAATAAATTGACAAATCTGCTTAAGGTAGAAGTGGAAGAATGATATAATTAGCCTGAAAAAAAATCATCTACTGGAGCAACTCACTGCACACTTTTTCTGAATTCTCCTCTAACATTCATAATGAACTCTTTCTCTCACTTTATCATGATGCTGTGAAGTGTCAAGAGGAAAGAAAAAAAAATTAAAAAGACAATTATTGATCAGTTCATACACTTACCCTGTTGCTAGGCCGATCCTTGAGGAATCAAGAGTACCAGGCCTTCACTGCCTCCAGGAATCACTAGGATGGAAACAAACGGCAGAAACCTAATGCAGTTACCCCTAATCCCAAACTTCACCCCCCCCCCGCGGAAACGCCCCCTCCTCAGACCCTAACGGGGGGTGGGGGGAGGCCTGTGGTGTTTAAAGGTTAAAAAACGGCCCTCAAGGGAACTGCATCTCTTCAAGTGGCTTCCAGTCTGGTCAGGGACCGAGGGGACGCGGCTGCGGTTCCAGAACCGGCCCAGAGCTGCTAGGCCTCGGGAAACCTCAGGCCTGGGCCCAGCCGCCGCCCCTCCTCAGGCGTCCGTTTCCAAACCTGCGGGCCCGGCGCGGGGGAGGCCCACGCTGCGGTCGCCAGGCCCCGCCAGCTGCTGTCGCCAGGCCCCGGCAGCCGGTTCCCTAGGTCGAAGAGCCTGGCGCCCTAGCTTCCCCGCCCCACTGGAGCCCTCAGCCATCCCCGCGGCCATCCCAGCTGTTACCTCATCTTCGCCTCGCCTTCGTCCACCTCAGGCCCCGACCCGCACAGCGCACCTCAGCGCGGCTGCGTTCGCAGAGCTGTGTGCGTCGCGACGCGGGAAGGGGGCTGAGGGCGGGAGAGGGGGCTAGGGGCGGGGCGGGGCCGCAGGGCAGGGGCGGGGCAGCTGTCTCCAGACAGCCAATGGGGACTCGGGGCGCTCCAAGGGGCAGGCGCACGCGCGGGAGCTCAGAACCCGCAGGGCCCGGAGCTCTGGCTCGAGGCCAGTGCAGCTGCTTTGGAAGGTTACGACAGCGGGTGGCGAAGGCCAAGTGGGTGGCAGAGGACGAGAATGAATGGACCAGCGGGACTCGCGTACCTCGACCGTCGCGAGCGGGTTCTCAAATTAGGCGAAAGTTTCGAGAAGCAGCCGCGCTGTGCGTTCCACACCGTGCGCTGTGAGTGCGGGCTGCCCGGGGTACCCGGGAGGATCCTCCTGGCATGGTGTGTGTGTGTGGGGGGGGGGGCTGATATGCAGACGGATGCCTCGGAATTCTGAAATTCTGTCCCCGCGGCCCTTTGCTCACCGGGAAACCCGATGGAGCATGACCAACTACCCCGTTCCCAGCCTCGGCGCGGGCACCTGGTGTCCAGCAGGTGTAGGAGAACCCTGGGAGGATTTAAGAGTGGCTGACAGGCAGGAGAGGACGTTTTGAAGAGAACATCTGTAGTGGTGGCTGTGGAGATTAGCATGACAAGTGGATGGTGGAGGGAGGAAAGGTGACAGATGGGACAAAGAACCGAATGCAGGGCAACAGGGATGTTTAGAGGCCACAGGGACGTTTCTTCCCCATTTACACTTGTCCCCTGACTGACGACGATGACGGTTGTTTTTAGTTTGTGGGAAGAGACTGTCAGCTATCTCAATAGTTTGTATCTCTTTTGGATCTCAGATTCAACTAAGTAATTACTGATTATCAAAAATTGAAAGGTGGGGCTTTAATAAGTTATCTTTAATATTGTTGGAAAATCGGTTACAATGAGCCTTTTGTTTTAGTAATTAAATGATAGAGATGCCAGTACGAAAAATATAGCATACTTTTTATGTAAACCTTCTTTTTTGCATAATAGGCCTCAGAGTTCTAAAGCTTAAAGGAAACATCTTTGAGTCCTGACCTCTTGTCTGTGTGTCCGTGTGTGACAAATTGTAGAGTTTTTTTTCACATCTTTTTTTTCCAAGCCCAGGTGTTCTTTACCGTCTCATTGTTTTACCTTCCTCAATCATTCTGTCCTTTTTCTTACAAAATTTATATTCTGGAAAAAAAAACCTATTAAAACTCAGCCCTCAAAGTTTAAGCTGTAAACAATCTAACTATAATAACTCAGAGGAAATGTAGGAAGAGCCAATGGTTTTAACCTTCAAATGATATGTTTACACTTTATTTTAAAAAGGTTTTATTATTCATGTTTTGGTGGAATAAACCGGATTTACCACCAGAGCTCCAATGATGTTCCTTGTTTATTTTGCCCTGGATGACAGTTCAGAAGACTTCCCCACAATGAAACAGGAGCCAGTGCTGTGGGTCCTGTAGTTTCTCTCTCTCTCTCTCTCTCTCTCTCTCTCTCTCTCTCTCTCTCTCTCTCTCTCTCTCTCTCTCTGTCTCTCTCTCTGTGTCTGTTTCTCTGTCTCTCTCTGTCTCTGTCTCTCTGTCTCTGTTTCTGTCTCTCTCTGTCTCTGTTTCTGTCTCTGTCTCTGTATCTCTGTTTCTGTCTCTCTCTGTCTCTGTCTATGTTTCTGTTTCTCTCTCTGTCTCTCTGTCTCTGTCTCTGTTTCTGTCTCTCTCTCTCTCTGTCTCTGTCTCTGTCTCTCTGTCTCTATTTCTGTCTCTCTGTCTCTCTCTCTCCCCTCCCCTCCCCCTCCCCCTCTTCAGTTTCATTTCCAAAAGTAACATACTTCTCTTATCTGATCTCTCAGTGCCCTTTTCCCACATAGCATGCCCTTTCCTCTTCTCAAGTATGCAGTAATATTTTATTTTTCACGCTACAAGGTTTAAGAGTACAAAAAGTTATATAGAGATAGATAAATTATTTTCAATTTTACATGTATATTTGTGGACCTGAGTGTATATACGTACATCATATGTATGTAGGTGCCCTCAGAGACCACAAGAGAGCCTCAAATCCCCTGTAACTGGACTTACCTACCAGTGGTTGTCAGTCACCTGATGTCAGTGCTCAGAATGATTCAAGTTTTCAGCAGGAACAACAAGTACTTTTAACTGTTAAGTCATCCCTCCAGTCCCTCGATGTATATCTATTTTATAACTTAGGTAGCATTCTCTTCTTACAATATAAATCCAAAGTTAAATGAATAAATATAGCTTCTAAAAAGTACCTTGCAGGTGCTTCAAACTTTCATTTATAGATTCTTTGATTGATTGATTGATTATAGTGTTAGAACTCAAACTCAGGGCCTGGCACATACTAGGCAAGTGCTCTACCTGAGCTACATCTCCACCTTTACAAAAGTTCTTAAGATGATGAAATCATATTTTCAAGAGTCAGATATCATGAGAATGACAACAAATAAGAATATGCAAAAAGACAATGATAATAATAACCACAGAGTAAACAAACTTAGATTCCACATTTAGTCTTGCAGAAGGCATTAAGGGTTTTCAGCTTTTCTCTCTCTCTCTCTCTCTCTCTCTCTCTCTCTCTCTCTCTCTCTCTCTCCTTGTTGAATTAAGTATAAAATCACATAGATTCTTTTTATGCTTTTTTAAAATATAACCTGGTATTATACTTAAGAAGATATTCATTTCCAGGGTAACTCCGAGTCTTAATAATTCAGTGACAAGTGGAGACTATACAATAGAGAATTTGGCTTTTATGCAGGGCAGATGGGCCTAATTCATACCACTCAAGCTAGTGTCATTTGAAAGAAAGTATTATTTTGTCTTATCTACACCATACATTTTTCTTGTCTTTTATAGTAAGGCTTTGGATAAGCTTGTCTGTGAACCCTGACCTTCACTAAGAACATATATAATGCGATTTTGAGAACATTCTCGAAGCTTTCAGCCTCAATGTTCATATGTGAAAATGGTAATAGCTACCTTTTGAATTTTTTCTAGAGGGATTATGGTAGCATTAAACTAGCACAGCGTTTAGAACATGGTAAAGAATAGATAATCGTCACCATTGGTTTTTATGAGGTATGTTCATAGGTGCGTGAGGAGTACTAATGCATGTAATTTACTTAAGTGTAATGAAGGCAACATTTAGCAACAAAGATGCACTACATAGAAGAGTTTGAATAACAAACACATTAGAATTAATTTTGGATTTGGGCTAATACTAGCTTTATAATTTACATCTACATAAGGGCTAATAATCAGTACATTTCCTGTTTTCAGTGACACCATTTATTATTGTCACAAAATAAGCTGATAGTGACTACAGAAAGGTTGTCCTCTATTTGAGGACCAAAAGTAGTACAGTTTTAGTGTAAGTAAATATCAGAAATTACACTAATTTAAAATAGGACTTGATAATGTTTATAGTTAAGGTTATTTGGTCAGCATAGATGGATTGTACTCTCTAAAACAGTGACCCATGGGGCTCAACAGTTAAAGGCACTAGCTGATCTTCTAGAGGACCTGGGTCTGGTTCCCAACACCCACTTGGTAATCCACAACTGTCTGTAACTCCAGATCCAAGGAATCCAATGGTCACTCAGGCTCCTGCACACAAGGGGTGCACATACATACGTGCAAGCAAAACATTCAGACACATAAAATAAAAATAGTTAAAGCAAATAAAAACACCAGTGAACCAAATAATCCTCTCATAGTTGCTGCTTCCAGTATCTATCACAGTAATACATCGTTCTATCTTATAAAAATTGTTGTTTGTATCTGTTTTTAGATGACTTCAAACCTGCTTCTATTGATACTTCTTGTGAAGGAAATCTTGAGGTTGGCAAAGGTGAACAGGTGACGATAACTCTACCAAATATAGAAGTAAGTAGTTCTATATATCTGTATTACAGGCTCTCCACTAAATTTCAATGCCATTATTTGTACAATTCATAGAATGATGGTCAGTTAAAGTGATGGATAAAACAGAGAGCAAAACCAACATATTTCAAACTATTTTGGCTGAAATAATTTTAAAATGCTTTAATTCATTTAATATTTTTCAAGGAATATCATAGCAAATGAATTGAAAGTGATTGGGATGATAATAATGTTTCTTGCCTTCTAGTCTAATTTGTCATTGCAGGCAGACATGTAAACAAACTGGCTAACGCTGTAAGTTACAACATTTATAAAATTCTGTGTATTCATTGAAACAGAACAAAATACTCTGCCCAGTGAAATCTTGGAAGGCTTCATAAAACAAGCACTAATTGAGCTGAGCCTTTAAGAAACAAAGTAACAGGTAGACAGGAAGTCAATACTCAAATCAAATGGCTTTATATGAAAGACTAATTCTGAAAAGAACAAGTCTATGAAGTAAATTACTTATGTGTAGTAACTAATAGATTATAAGAAGTAGAAACTGAAATGTAGACTGGGGTCAAATGGTGAAGTATATTTTATGTTGAAATTTGAAATTGATGCTTCATCCCATTGACATTAGAGAAGCATTAGGAAACATTTTAAGCAGAGAAGAGAATAGTGAGACATGGTTTGGTAGAGAAGAGATTTAGGAAATACATACATTGAGCATCTTTATACAAAGCCCTTGGGGGCAATAAGAGTTTCTGTTTTCTAGTGTTTTTTTGGAATATTTGCAAATACATTATGAGATATATTTGGGATAGCACCTTCATCTAAAATATAAAATTTGTTTAACTTTCATATAGACCTTATATACATAACCTAAAACTAATTGTATGCAATATTTATAATAACTTTGTACATGAATCAGTCTGTGATACAGAATTTTCTACTTGTGGTGTCATGTTTGAGATAAAAAGATTAGCATTTTTGTTGGGCATTGGTGGCACACGCCTTTAATACCAGCACTCGGGAGGCAGGGACAAGTGGATCTTTGTGAGTTGGATGCCAGCCTGGTCTACAGAGTTAGCTTCAGGACAGCCTCCAAAACAATACAGAGAAACCCTGTCTTGAAAAAACAAAAAACAAACAAAACAAAACAACAACAACAAAAAAATGATTAGCATTTTGGAGCATTTCAGATTTTAGAATTTTGAATAAAGGAAATTCAGATCTGTAGTTTAGGGATTGAACTGAAGATAGTTTCCCATTTTTAAAATTTTCCAAATGCATTCAAATAACACAACCAATGCTCCTTGCATAAAATACAAACTTGCTCAGTTCAGTCCTTCAGTTAGAAATTTCTTATTATTCAGGTCTTTTTTTCTTTTCTTTAATACCAACTTCATCTGTTATAAAGAAAGTTATAGTGAAAACAACTCCATAATTTTGTGTTACCTATAAAGAAAATCCTGAACTTTTTGAGACACTTTGCCTTTAATTTTATGGAGTAGTTTGGAGTTGGCCAATTCATATTGTCTTACATGAATCGGGGAGGTGGTGAGTCATGGTAGGAGGTACAGCAAGTTTTATTTTCTAGTCTGCTGTCTTTTTCTTACTTTTATGACTCTACCACTTACTCAGACCCTACTACTATGTCAGATGGAATCATTTGTTGCTTCTGATGATTTTCTTAAGGTAGAGCTTTGTGTGGTATGTGAGTTTTTATTGGATATTTCTCATTTGTTTCCTTAGGAGCTGAAGAAAATGAAAAATCAATTCACTATGAGATGTTGTGAATAAGTTAGTTTTTGAAATCCTCTATTATAAGAACTTTCCAGATTCTGGGCTTTCTATACCATTTGACACTTTATTCAGCAGTATAAAGCCTTGTTTGCTTTATGGTGTTTATAAGGAACAACCTGGATGAGTCATTCAATTTTTTTCAGTTTTTATACTTTTTTTAAATAGGAATAGTTTAACTTTCCCACCTCCTTTCCTCCCTCCAGCCCCTCCCAACTACCTTCCTTCAAACACCTCCCAAGTTCTCCCTATTTCCCAGTCACTCAAAGAAAAACAGCCACTTAATTTCAAAAGTGACTGAAAAGCTTTAAGTTCAAATGGGAGCTCCTGTCCTGTTGTTTTAGTCTGTGGTGGTATTAATCAGTGACAATTAGTTTGCACTAGAACTCCAATTGGGCTCATCTTTGCCATGTAGAATATTTGTTTTTCAAATTACAACCTTCCCATTTCATCCCTTACCTTATATTGTTCTTCTATGGCAATTCTTCTATGTATTGATAAACATTATTTTGTTCATTCTTGCCCTGTTTAGTGAAGAGTTCTGATCTACCACGTCTGATTATGGTCTCAGTATAAACCCTCTTAAACCAATGACTGTTGGACTAGGTCTCTATTTTCAAAACTATGACTTATAAATTTCTGAAATGTAAAAGAAAAACAATGGTAAGAATTAACCACCACCTTCCAGTCTCCACACGCATCTATATTCATGTGCACATCTATACTCATGCGCACATACCTACACACACACACACACACACACACACACACACACACACACACACACCTTTGGTAAGGTAGATTTTTAAATCCCATTCTATTTTTTTGTATTAACGAACAGAGTAAACAAATAAAAACAAAGACAGTTAAGTACTGTGCTTATAAGTTTTTACATTTTAAAAATAATGATAACAAACATTTATTGGATGTGGCATAAATGGTCCCACACACTGCTTAGTGATTTTCAAATATTACCCATTTAAGTTTATTTAATCTCTACAACAAGTACTGGGAGTTTAGTCCTATTTTTTTGTTGTTGTTGTTGTTGTGTTGTTTTCGTTTTTGTTTTACGAGACAGGGTTTCTCTGTGGCTTTGGAGGCTGTCCTGGAACTAACTCTTGTAGACCAGGCTGGTCTCAAACTCACAGAGATTTTCCTGCCTCTGCCTTCTGAGTGCTGGGATTAAAGATGTGTGCCACCACTGCCTGCTACTGCTATTTTATAGAGAAGGAAACCAAAGTTTAAAGAGTAAACAATTTGTACAAAAGTATAAAGCTAATAGGTGACAGTCAGGGATCTATATTTCAGTGGTTCTCTATATTTTCCAGTAATGTACACTTCCACATTGTCTCACTTTAATCTTTGTAGTCTGGAATAGTAGGGAATTACCATTTCAGTTTTAACTAGGAGGAAGGGGCCCAGAGAGGGGCACTATCTCTACTAGTAACTGGCAGAACAGGTCCTCTGTCATTACTTTATTCCATCCCAGGATTCAGATCTGCTCATTCACATTTGAGTTATCTAGCAAGCAGTTGTGGTGGGCCTTGGTTTTCTGTAAACCACCCGAAACCTCCTCTAACTGACCTTGCTTGGGTAGCTCTCCTCATCCCCCCCCCTTAGGCTGGTGGGGAGCCTTTGACCCATTGGGGCCTGTTCTTCTCCTGTGGAATGTGCTTCCCTTTGAATATCTGCAATTTCTCTTCTCAGTGAGTCTCCTTCCAGGTGGAAAAGAGGGCCTAGGAGGACACAGAGGAGTCTGAAGTTCTAAGAGGGTCACTGAGCTCTTTCCTGTCCAGCCTTTTTCATACAATTTTGTTTAAGGACAGGGTACTTCATACCGGTATACTTAAACAAACAAATATAGATACTACTAATGTCATACATGGAATAACAGACAAAATGTTACTTCTGGGACTTCTGATATGGTGTAGGAAATGAAGGTGAACTACAAATAAACATTTTTTAAAAGCCAATCAGTGGTGGCGCATGCCTTTAATCCCAGCACTCGGAGGCAGAGGCAGGCGGATCTCTGTGAGTTCGAGACCAGCCTGGCCTACAAGAGCTAGTTCCAGGACACCCTCCAAAGCCACAGAGAAACTCTATCTCGAAAAAAACCAAATAAATAAATAAACAAATAGGATTTAATTAAAAATTTAATTTATGTATATTAGTGTATAGCTGATGTATATGTGTGTACTTAAATGTAGGTGTTAGTGGAGGCCAAAAGAGGGCGTTTGATCACCTGGAGCTGGAATTATAGAAAGTTGTGGGCCACCCAACAAGGGAGCTAGAAACTCCACTCAGGTCTTCTGCAAGAGCAGTATGTGGTATTAACTATGGAGCCATCTTTTCTGCCCCATAAGTAGACAATTTTGAAGGCAAAATTGAGATCCCTTGTAGAGAACATCACAAAGTGTTTCGTAATATGGGAGAACATGTAAAATCAGGAACACCAATTCTTCTCTCTAGCTTTGAAAAGAAAGGGAAGGTCTGAATTTGTCTCTTTCTGGAAGAAGAAGGAGAAGGAGAAGGAGAAGGAGAAGGAGAAGGAGAAGGAGAAGAAGAAGAAGAAGAAGAAGAAGAAGAAGAAGAAGAAGAAGAAGAAGAAGAAGAAGAAGAAGAAGAAGAAGAAGAAGAAGAAGAAAAGGAGAAGAAGAAACTCTTTAAGGTGCCCCACGGCCCTCTGTACTGTGACAAACAGGTGTGAGTGAGCCATTTCTGAGTCAGGAATGAGAGACTTAATCATGGGACGTGACTCAACCTTTGGGAAACGGCAGGGCAGATAACTGAACATGTGAGACTTAGCAGTAATGGCTATGTGTCTGATGTGGCAGAACAGCTGAGGGACCAGACATCGGACACAATAAAGATGATGACCACAGATTACGCCAAAACAGAGTTGTTCACTTAAGTAGGTGAAGGAGCATAGATAGATGAGGAGCGTAATTGAAATGTTATTTCTTCTAATCTGGATTCCTCTTATTCTAAGAAACATTCCCTCAAATGAAAGATACCAAGTTACTAAGTTTGCTCTTAAATCTCCTGTTATCTACAGATTCAATGCAATCGCCATCAAATTCCTAGCACAATTGCTCACAGACCTTGAAAGAATAATACTCAATTTTATATGGCAAAACAAAAAACCCAGGACAGCCAAAACAACCATTATACAATGGAAAAAAGAAAGCATATTCAATAAATGGTGCTGGCGTAAC